CATCAATAATATCAACATCCCGGCAAGGGAGATAACAAATAAATCAATAATAGCCCGGCAAGGGTGTCAACATGATAACTTCTTTCCTTTCTCACTTTTACTTCACAATTCACTTCATAACTCGAGCTAATGCTCTAGAGATTCAATTATCGCTTACTCTTTCACAATTCGTTACATAACTTGAGCCAACGCTCCTCAATGTTCATAAGTCACAATTCCTTATACAAACTTTACACAACATATAGAAACCATCACCAAGGCATGAAAGATACAACGAAGTCATGAAAATCACAGTATAAAGACTCACGGGCATGCCAGACACCAACGTATAGATACTCGTCATCATGCCTATACGTTGTACTCAACAATTAACACTAAACAAATAGGACTCAACTCCTAATCCCTCAAGCTAAGGTTAGACCAAACACTTATCTCGAACATCCACGACCAACTCAATCCTCAAACACCGCCTTTCCTTTCGAATTCGGCTCCAAATCAATTGTATCTATACATAATCGACTTAATAACATCAATATATGCTAAAAAATCCAATCCCAATACTTAATTATAGCTTTTAATCATTCTTCCCAGAAATTCAAAAATTGACCCCGAGCCCGCTTGGTCGAAATACGAGGTTCGGACCAAAACCCGATCATCCATTCACCCACGAGCCCAAATATATAATTTGTTTTGAAATCTAACCCCAAAACGAGTTTAAATTTCCAAATAATCAAAAAGCCCTAACTCTACCCAAATCCCTAATTTTCTACCCTTAATCTCATGTTTTAGGCCTAAAAATCTAGTGGGTGTTAATGGAAATTGAAGAAAATGATTCTAAAATTACATACCTATGAATTGGTGGTGAAATCCCTTTTCAAAAATCACCCAATTTGGAGTTTAGATGAAGAAGTTATGAGTTTTGGTGAAAATCCCGTAATGGCTACTGTTCTGGTCTTTTTAAATAACTGGGCGAAATTGGTCATCGCGTTCGCGATGAGTTAAGTCTGATAGACTTTCGCGTTCGCGGAAGATGGCTCGCGTTCGCGGAGCTTTGGCTCCTAAAGCGTACGCGTTCGCGGGCCAGTGGCCGCGTTCGCGATGCACAAAATGGTGACCCCTCCCTAGATCTTTACTTTACGCGTTCGCGAAGGGTCTCCCCTCGCCAGCCTCGCGTTCGCGTCCCAAGCTTCGCGTTCGCAAAGAAGAAATCTGGCACCTGGAAATTTGCCTTACGCGTTTGCGGGAGGGACCACGCGAACGCGAAGAGTAAAATCCCTGGGCACTGAACAGCAAAAACCTGCAACTTTTTGAGTTCCAAAAACCTTCCGAAACACACCCGATCCCTCGGGGCTCAAAACCAAACATACGTACTAACTCAATAACATCATACGTACTTATCCGTGCGATCAAATCGCCAAAATAACCTCAACAACAACGAATTAAACCTCAAAATCAATGAAATATTTCAAAACTTCTTAAAACATCAGATTTTGCAATTTAGGCTCGAATCACGTCAAACGGATTACGTTTCTTACCAAATTTCACAGAATTATCTTAAACCACATATAAGACCTGTACCGGGCGCCGGAACCTAAATACGGGCCCGATACCAACATGTTCTGATCAAAATTCATTTCCAAATCCTTTAAACAATTTCAGAAAATAATTTTTTTAAAAATTAATTTCTTGGGCTCAAGACCTCGCAATTCGATTCCGGGCATACGTCCAAGTCCCATATTTTCCTACGGATGCTCCGGGACCATCACATCACGGGTCCGGGTCCGTTTACCCAAACTGTTGACCGAAGTTTAATTAATTTATTTTATAGTCAAAATTTATTATTTTTCACAGATTTTCTCATTTAAGCTTTCCGGCTATGCGGCCGGACTACGCACGCAAATCGAGGCGATGCTAAAAGAGGTTTTAAAGGGTTCAGAACACAGAATTCAGTTTAAAAGCAAGTGATGACCTTTTGGGTCATCACATTTTATAAAATAAACAGTTACGTATTTGAATAAAAGTACTGAAGTTAAAAAGAAATTATTGATATGTTTGGTAAACAAGTGTTAGTAAGCATTTTTTTCCCTGTATATGACTAAAGTGTCCTTAAATCTGATAACACTTTTTAATTTTAAATTGATATGAATACAAAATAATTTCTATTTCCAGCTACAATCTTTTTTACTTTATTTTATAATAATATCATCACTTTCCTTAAGCTGATTGCTATGCATCTAAAGTATGCGCTTGATTTCTACAGTAACAATTGAGCAAAATTCCAGTTCTAGCAAAAAATAGAGAAGGATGTTAAGTTAAACGGGAGGATCCAAATTTATGTTTATGTAATCTTAAAAGGTTGTTGCTGTAATCGTCCCCAACTTATCTTTCATATATGAACCAATTATTGCCTAGTCTTAGCATCTGTGAAGGAAAATATTTTATTATAAATTTCTGATTGATCTCTACACTTTTTTATTTCTCCATCCATAAAATAAGTTATCAATACCCCTATTTATAATAGTATGAAACCTATTTCAACTAGAAACAGGAAAACCTATTCCTATATTTATTCTAACTACAAATCCTATTAGACATGAATTAAATAAATCAAATCCTAAATAATTAAGGTATCCTACTACAACTTTGAATTAGTTTTTCAACATTCTCCCGTAATTCAAAGTTATATACGTCTGACTTGTTCGTTGTGCAGTTATGTTGGAGAACTTCTCTCCAACTTTCACTTTTGATGAAGCACATGACTTCATCCCTCGATTTGTTGAAGCACCTGTCTCCAACTCACGTTGATGCACTTTGTCACCAACCGTCACCAACACCCAATTTTGTTGAAGTACCTGTCTCCAACTCACGTTGATGAAAGTGCATCAACGCCCAATTTTGTTGAAGCACCTGTCTCCAACTCATGTTGATACACTTTGTCACCAACCGTTGATGCACTTTGTCATCAAAATCCAATTTTGTTGAAGAACCTGTCTTCAACTCACGTTGATCCACTTTGTCACCAACACCCAATTTTTGTTGAAACACATAATCAACTTCCAACTTTTTTTAAACCTCTCCAACTTTTAGAGAAGAGTTTCTTCATCTTGTGCCATATTGCACCTCTTTAAACTTATTTTTTTCTTGAATCCGTCATGAAACTTTTCATCGAATAACCTAATTTTGTCGACAACTATCTATGATTTTGCCAACATATTTTTTTGGCCAAACGGGCGGCACACATTGGTTAGCGCCGCCGCCCGGCAGCGGAAGCTACTTGATTCTCTCTCAAGACCGTAGAAGCTCTGATACCAATATGAAGAAAAATATTTTATTATAAATCTCTGATTGATCTCTACATTTCTTTATTTCCTCTACCCACAAAATAAGTTATTAATACCCCTATTTATAAGGATGAGAAAAGAAAGAGGAGAAGAATGATTGCGGAGAAGAATGAAGAAAAGAGAAGGAACGATAGTTTAGGGTATTTGTAATTGAAAGTAATATTGAAATTAAACAATAATAAGGGATAAAATAATAAAATACTTGGTCAAAAATAAGAATAGCTTTAAGTCAAAAGACAATAAGTTAAGGTTGCCCAACTTATTGACTTGTTTTAAGCACTTTCAATTCTTTTAAAACACTTTTGATGTTTGTCAAACACATAATAAGCAAAAAAAAAAAAAAAAAAAAGAAGAAGAAGAAGAAGAAGAAGTTAATTGGCCCGCTTTTAAGCCAATCCTAATACATACCCTCCAAATAAGTAAAATCCAAAAGGAATGAGTATGGTATGGTGCCCTTGCAAAACAATAAAATCACTTTAAAAAAGTAATACGATGGCAAAATATGAAATAAATAAGAAAAAAATGGCTTAAAGATAATATTTTGAACCATACTTGTGCTTCTTATTGATTTCATCCCATTTCAAACAGAATAGCAGTTTTCAAAGGAAATTCGGGTCATGCATTGTGCTCCAAGATATGGTCCAAACCGTACCTCTATAGGACAATTAGTCAAAACAGTGGAGAAGAATGGGTTGCGGTGGGGACTGTACAAACAAAGAAAATTGTCAAAATAACAACAAATAGTGGTGCAAGCTTTGGATCATATATGATATAAGGCCTTGAATTGGGCTCATTTTTTATGATGCTTAGCACTAGGTGCTTAAGTTGTCTTCGTTATGGACGCTAGCAATTGAAGGGCCAACTCCAATATCCCCCAGGCCAGATGAGGTTAATATTCTGGCAATGCAATTCCCTGGTGGCCATACTAGAATATGTGTCATTTTACATAGACATTACATCAATTGTCGATCAATCATAATATATGTTTAATTCAACAGGATTATAAGCAGCATTTTCTAACAAAGCCATTGAATCAGACGAAAATGTTATGGAACTTTCCATCTGATGAAACAATGGAGCAATTGGTTGAGATTGAAGAGGCTGAGGAGGTAGTTGTAGCATTTAAACTTCACCTTCAAAACGTTTAAAGGAGAAGAAAAAGAATTCTGAATGAATTGATTCAATTTTCTGTGTATTGAATGAATAACTCTTTGTACAGCTCGTGTATATATACAAAAATGAAGGAATCTTCTGATAACTAAGTATGACAGCTGTGCCTATACAATTTGCTGCCTTCTAACTGACTATTAGATAAATACAAATATAAATAAAGAATTTACAATGGATAAATCTGGATAAATTCTTAGGTGTCTTCTGGAAGGTCCAAAAAATAATATTGAGCCCAAGTGTTAAGCCCAAGTGAATAAAGACCAAACATCTTCAGCCCAAAAACTAATAAGTCCCTGACTCCTTTCAGACACAAACATACGAGCATATTCAAGTCAAAATAGATCGATATTATTTAGGTCACTCCTCCACCATCTCTAGCTGCTTCTTCTTGTGAAATTCCGGCAGAAAGATTATCTCCGGCAACACCCCCCTCAAGTGGGAGGACGCCGATCAGACACCTAACTTGTGAAGAAGAGTACGATGCAACGGTCAAGTAAGAGCTTTTGTAAATAAATCAGCAAGCTGTGAAGAAGATGGAACATAGGAAAGTGAGATTAACCCATCAAGCAATTTTTCACGAACGAAGTGACAATCAAGCTCAATATGCTTCGTTCGTTCATGAAAAACGGGGTTCCTCGCAATATGTATTGCGGCTTGGTTGTCACAGTGAAGAGGGACCGGCAAAATTGCCGGAGTACTGAGACCGTGAAGAAGATGAACAATCCAAGTAATTTCTGCTACCAAACGCCTCATAGATCTGTATTCCGCTTCTGCTGAAGAGAGGGCAACAACTGGTTGTTTTTTCGATTTCCAGGAAATTGGACAGCCTCCTAGACTCATGAAAAAGCCACTCACAGATCGTCGAGTGTCGGCACAAGATGTCCAATCAGAGTCGCAAAAGGCCAGAATTTGAATAGAGGGCTCTGGTGTCATGAACAAACCAAGCCCCGGATTCCCAGCCAAATAACGTAAAGTGCGTAAAGCAGCCTGATAATGTCCGGAAAAGGAGGTTTGCATATATTGACTGAGGGTTTGAACTGTAAGGTCAGGCCTTGTGTTCGTCAAAAAATTCAACTTATCCAGCAGTCCTCGATACACAATTGGATCAGGAAGGGGTGTACCAGAGTCGGAGGAAAGTTTAAGAGTATACTCCAAAGGGGTAGAAACAGGTATACAGTTCATGCAATCAAATTCAGAGAGCAGTTCTAGGGCAAATTTTCTTTGGGTTACAACAAGTCCTTCATTTTCTCGTACCAACTCCATTCCCAAGAAATAGTGAGCTTCTCCCAAATCTTTAATTTTGAACTCATAGTCCAAGAATTGCTTAATGTCATTGATTTCTGCTTTGTTGTTCCCGGTGATCAGAATATCGTCTACATAGACAGCAAGGATCGTGATCAAATCACCAGTTAATTTGAAGAAGAGGGAGTAATCATTGAGCGAAGAACTAAATCCTCTCATGGCAAAGGCTGAAGACAAACGGGAATACCATTGGCGCGAAACTTGTTTAAGACCGTACAAAGATTTGCGAAGGCGACATACATGTGTTGGAGAAGGAGGACTCAATCCAGGGGGAAACCTCATGTACACTTCTTCGTGCAAGTCCCCGTGCAAAAAGGCGTTATTCACATCAAGCTGGCAAAGATCCTAACTTTTCTTTACTGCTATAGCTAGAATGCATCGAATTGTTGTCATTTTTACCACCGGAGAGAATGTCTCTGTATAATCAATACCTTCTTGTTGTGTATCTCCCCTGATGACCAGTCATGCCTTGAGCCTTTCTAAAGCACCATTTGATTTCAATTTCACTTTATAAACCCACTTGCAGGGCAACGCTTTCTTTCCAGTTGGAAGCTGCACTATGTCCCATGTTCTGTTGGAATCCAAGGCTTCAAATTCCTTGTCCATTGCTGCTTTCCAGCCGGGATGCATCATTACTTGTTGGTAAGAAGTTGGTTCATTTATTTGTCAAATAGAATTGATGATGCATTGATTTTGGGGTGTCATAGCAGAAAAAGTAGAATGATAAAAGGGATAAAAAGGTGGGTTAGGGGAAATAACAGAGAAAGCAGAATTACAAACATAATCAGATAAATACTTAGGAGGATGATGTTCTCTTTGTGAGCGGCGTAGCTGCTCCTCTGGTGCTGTGGGTAGTACTTCAGTTCTGGGAGCTGAACCAACAATGGAATCATAAATGGGAGACAAAAGGGAAGATTTAGATTGTAAAGATTTAGATTTAGAGGCAGATTTAGAAAGAGGTGTGCTCTGTAAAGATAGATTTGGAGAAAGCACAGTAGAAGAAGAAGAAAAAAAAATGATCATTAGTAGATGGAAAACAAGCAGGAAACAATTTAGACAGTGGTGAAGGAGAAGAGAAAGGAAAAACAGACTCAATGAATTTGACGTTTCTAGAAATGCAGATTGTATTATCTTGCAAGTTAAGGATTTTATATCCTTTCTTTCCAAAAGGATAACCAAGAAAGATCCCAGGAAAAGCTCTAGGGCTTAATTTTTCCCTGTTCCTAGAGAGAGTGGAGTTGAAACATAGGCAACCAAATGGCTTTAGGTAGGAATAATCAGGGTCTTTTCCAAATAGTACTCGATAAGGAGATTTATTTCTAAGTACCTGGGAAGGGAATCGATTGATCAAGTATGTTGCTGTGAGCAAGAACTCTCCCCAGTACCTTTTTGGTGCATGTCACTGAAACATCAAAGCCCTACAAGTCTCTAACAAGTGTCTATGTTTACGTTCAACTACTCCATTTTACTGGGGAGTCCCAGCACAAGTCGTTTGATGAATGATCCCCTGAGAAAAGAAAAAATCTCTTTGTTCTTGTCCTGTTCCCAATTCATAGGCATTATCTGACCTAATCACCTTCACCTTAGCTGAGAATTGTCTATCAACTAGGGCTAGAAACGATTTCAATACTGGGAATGCATTGGACTTTGCAGAGAGGAGAAAAGTCCAAGTGGTTCTGGAAAAATCATCCACTATTGTTAAAAAATATTTCTCCCCTTTATAAGTTGGTGTGTTATAGGGTCCCCATGTATCGATATGTAATAAATCAAAACAGGTCTTTGAATTGATTCTGCTCTTAGGAAAAGGTGGTCTTGATTGCCTTGCCATAGGGCAAACTTCACAAATAATCTTCTTGTTACTGAAAGATATTGGAATGCCTTTTATATTTTTCATTGCATGATAAGGTAGATGTCCTAAACGACAATGCCATAATTTCTCCAAATCAGTCATTTGTGAAACAACAGAACTGTGATTCATTTTCTCATTTAATTGTTCAGGACAAGCAGGACCAGAAAAAACATGGCACACATGCTTATGACAAACTGACTCTGAAACAAAAGGAAAAGATCAGAAAAACAAGACTTTGACATATTGCAAGAAGAAATAGAAACTGGAGCTTGTGGCTTGTTGCAGAAACTAGAGGTATTATCCTTCAGCACATAGAGGCCTGCTGCAGCTTTACCAAAGAGCTGGTCCTTCCTCAGTGAGGGGGCTTGCAGTATACATCCTCCTTTAGTAAATAAAATATCAAAAGGTAATTGATGAACAAGTTGACTTACTGATAGAAGATTATGTTTAAATGCAGGAACATAAAGTACATGATCCAATTTTAATTCAGGTGACAAGTGTAGGCTGCCTATAGAATAAGCTTTTACCTTGGATGAGTTAGCCAAATTGACTAAGAGAGGAAAAGGAAGTGCTCTTATGCCATGCAACAAAGACTTATCAAATGTCATGTGCTGTGTAGCACCAGTGTCAAGAATCCAAGGAACATTGGTGAGTTTAGACAAAAAAGAAGTGAAAACAAAGCAAGCATGATGTATACCAGCTAGGTTAGCTGTAGCAGAGGACTCGAAAAAAGAGGCAGACGCTCCCTGAACAGACTGGAACATCTGAATGAGCTGGTCACACTGCTCCTTAGTAAATCCTTGGCTGCTAACAAGAGTTGAAGCAATATCTCCTCCAACTGTGGTAAGTTCATTCCAACTGTTGCTGTGTGTGCTTGTTGATTCCCAAAGTTCCCCCTCTTTGGCTTGGTGAACTTGAAATTTTGAGGATATCCCACTAGTTTGTAGCACTCTTCTTTGATATGCCTAGATTTTTTACAGTACTTGCAAAATAACTCACTCCTTTTTCCTCCAACTGAGGTATTAGAATTATGTACTTTGTAGTCTCCTGAGTTCCTTTGTGGTGTCCATTTCTGTCCAGATGTCATAAAAGCAGAAGAATCAGAAATGGAATGTAAGTTAAGTGTACCTCCTTTTGTGTCTCTTGGTGGAGGAGAATAGAGTATGCCTGAGCCGTGCTAGGAAGAGGCTTCATCATCAAAATATTTCCCCTTACACTAGTATAAGAATCATTTAACCCCATTAGAAATTGGATCAGTTTTTGGTCTTCATTCATCTTAACATTGTGTGTTTTTGCACCACACTTGCAGTCACAGTTGCATATCATGAAGGTATTAAGCACCTTCATTTGATCCCAAATTCTTTTAAGCTTAGTGAAGTATCCTGCCACATCACTAGATCCTTGGCTGATGCTGTTTAATTCTCTCTACAGTTGGAATAACTTTGTGCCATCAGCTTGACCATACCTCTGCTCGAGCTCATTCCATAACTCTTCAGCAGTTTGTGAATAAATCACACTTCCTCCAATATCCTTGCTGAGTGAGTTAAGAAGCCATGCAATGACCATGTCATTGGATCTTTTCCATAGCTCAAAGAGAGGAGAATCAACAGATGGGCATTGACAAGTACCATTGATGAACCCCAATTTGTTCTTAGCCGAAAGGGAAATAAGAACTCCTCTACGCCAGTTTGCATAACTAGATCCATCAAAGCTTATGTTGATGAGGTTGATTCCAGGATTATCAGAAAATGTTAAAAAATAGGGATGACAAGAATCAATTTGTTGAGCGGGAGTAAGAGTGATCTGGGAAGTGCTGCTAACATGAGAAGGAAGAGTACATTGTTGATAAAAAAAAATGCAAATCAGATTGCTTTGATTAAAGCTTTGATACCATGAAAACGTTCAAAGGAGAAGAAAAAGAATTCTGAAGGAATTGATTCAATTTTCTGTGTATTGAATGAATAACTCTCTATACAGCTCGTGTATATATACAAAAATGAAGGAATCTTCTGATAACTAACTATGACAGCTGTGCCTATACAATTTACTGCCTTCTAACTGACTATTAGATAAATACAAATATAAATAAAGAATTTATAGTGGATAAATCTGGATAAATTCTTAGGTGACTTCTGGAAGGTCCAAAAAATAATATTGAGCCCAAGTGTTAAGCCCAAGTGAATAAAGAGCAAACATCTTCAGCCCAAAAACTAATAAACCCCTGACTCCTTTCAGACACAAACATACGAGCATATTCAAGTCAAAATAGATCGATATTATTTAGGTCACTCCTCCACCATCTCTAGCTGCTTCTTCTTGTGAAATTCCGACAGAAAGATTATCTCCGGCAACAGTGAGTTGGTTGTAATTTCCCTTCAGTCAAGTAAAGCGGTGGTTGTGTTTGGAAATCTGTGTGTTCCAATATATTAGCCTTTTCTGTTATTTAATGATGTTACGCTATTTATTGTAGGTACAAAAGCATGACAAGAGTTGTCTGTCTTGTTGGTTATTTTGGGAAGTGAGTGGATGACAAGAAATCATGAAGACATATTCTCAAAATGACATGGTTGGAACAATGCTTGTTAGCGATGATGCTGTCTTTGATAAATTCATGGAAACTATCATTAGAAGAGGTGCACTGAGTTGCTGTCCTATACCGAAGGAAATAATGAAAATTGTTACTCCCTCCGTCTCATAATATATGTCGTATTTTTCTTGTACACGCCCCTTAAGAAAGAATAGTTTTTGACTACTTTACCCTTACTAAATATTTTCTCAATTTATGTGTTATCTCTATCAATGACATTATCCATATTTTTACTAAATGTGAATGCAATTGATTATTAAGGATAAAAAAGGAAAAATATAATCAATTTTGTCTGAACTTCTAAAATAACAAATAATTTGAGACAAACATATTTAGTAATCACGACACATATTATGAGACGGAGGGAGTAGTAGAAAATTGAGTTGTATTGTTTGTTATAGACAACTTGCACAAAATATGATATGGGGAACACCATATTAACTGGTACGAGATTGAAAAATCACTGAAGTAATCTTGGAAGTAGAAACGGTAGTTCCTTCACTTATATTGAAAAATCACTGGCCCAAAGTTTCACCAATAGCGTAGGAATTGCTTCACTTATATTGAAAAATAAAAAAGTATTAAATAAAACTACTATATGAATTATCAGTCTGATAGATACATAATCTGTCATGGGTAATTAGATATCTATCTCAGCAAAATTAATTCAAATTTACCGTAAAAGCCCAAGGAAATCCTTGTAAACGGTAACAAACTTTACATCATATAAAGCCTCATTAGTGGGGAAGTTTCTTCATTTCAGTTTGGTAATCATAGCAAACTCCTTCATACCAAGTCGAATTTGCTTACCATCAATTATGAACCAAAACTCCCCTTTTTTGAGCTTACAACCCTCCGTTGTAAAAGACTGTGTATGTAATGATCCGGCCGGTCGTTTTGAGAGTATGAACCCCGATTTCTTATTTATTGTCCCCTCTGTTTCATTTTATGCTTACTTGACTTGCCGGGGTACTTGATGTCGGGTTCAGGAGAGTTTCGGAGTGGAATGGCACATAGTCCCTAAGTGTGAAGTTTGAGTTGTAAGAGTTGACCGTAGTTTGGCCTGTGTGAAGACGATTCCAGAATGGAGTTTCGTCGGATCCAATAGCTCCGTATGGTGATTTTGATCTTAGGAGCGCGTCTGGATGTTGATTTTGGAGGTTCGTAGGT